CCACTGTGGCAGGGTGTGGTTTGTGGCTCAGCTGCAGGGGAAGGGTGGAGCAGTGGGTTCACGGGCAGTGCCAGGGGAGGCTGGCTGGCCGTGTCGTCCTCATTTCAGTAGCTGCCTTAGGAGAGAGCTGTGTGGTGTGTGAGCAGGAGAGTGCAGCTGGAAACATGTGCGTACATGAGAACGCCAAAGAGCCATGTGAACAACACTGTAAAGCACTTTTTACTTTTGTTTGTCCGTCCTTATCAGCCACTTCTTCCTCACTAAACTGCAGTTCTATTAGGTGCATGAGCGCACAGGAAGGGCAGGTGAGGGGCCGGTTGCATTAAGAGATTCGATTGGTCAATCCAGTGTCAGTTATGCAAATGAATGAACAGGCTGCTGCCAGTGCTGCTAGGACCGTAGCCTGTATATTTATGGAGACACTAACCCATCAGCCTACATGTGCATCAGCTGTGCCAGATTAGCAGCCCAGCAGCGGGGTGAGGGAATACCTGAATCTTACAGTTGACAAACAGTTCCTCTACAGTCTTTCTGTCTCTCTCATGGAGTCCTGCATGATGCATGCCGATCCCAAAGGCCAGTGTCAGCTTCAGGTTGGAATCTCGAACGGTGCCAATGATGTCCTCTATCTGCAAACAAACCAGAGCACAGACAGTGATTAGTACGAAAAACAAATCTCACCGAGGAGTAACGAGCTCTCTAGTCCCAGGGCTTCATTACGATAAACTTTGCTTCTAATGTGGTCTGTCGTGTTCATTTATTCAAAATTGTGCTGTTACACTGGGCGCGTCTCTGTGGACTTTTGCCATCCTCATGTACATGTATAACATATTTAAACTGGACATCAACCCAATGCTGACTCACAAATCTCATATTGACTGATATGTAAAAAAACTAGGTTGGTGATTTGATCCTAGACTCCTCTAGTCTGCATGCCAAATATCTTTTGACAAAATACTAACCGCATGGTGCTCTCCGATGCATCCATCAGAGTGTGAATGTGTGTATATCTACATATACATATATATATAT